CCCCCCCCCCCCCCCACTCCCCATGTTTCCCACTTTCTTTGCTGTAGAAAAAGGTAAAACTGAAGATTAGCAGACCACCTGGCACCTGCATATTATGAGCTGTGTAAAAAAAAAGACAGATTCGTTCAAATACAAAGCCTGTGTCATCTCGATTGTTTACCAAGAAAAAGTTGTGTTGCTGTGTAGAGCTGAGTGTACGACAACTTTGATTCCATAGACCAGCAATTCATTACGTAGATCTAAGTCAAGACTAGCTTATTATTGTAATATATCAGTTGCCGGGGGAAAAAAGACAGACGCATACGCGACGTTCAACGCCCGGACCGATAGTGTCCCCCCCCCCCACCCCCTCTCCCCGACACGCACACAGCCACGGCCACACGTGTGCAGGCCGCCCATCCGACCCCGACACACGCTAACGAGCCTTCTTTAATTGCTTCTGATGACCTCTTGACAAATAAATATTTATTAGAAGCGCTATAACTTTTCAGGCCCGCCTCAAATTCATCATTAGATAAAAACTCAGCTCCTGCACAAAACGCCATTTTGCCAACAGTGATCCCGGTCTCTACCCAGCCTGAGACGAGTCACGAGTGAGGCATTACAGGAAGCCAGAGTCACGAGTCACAGGAAGTTGGAAGTGATGTCATGCTGGACAAGAATCAGAGTCCGAATAACATTTTTTCATATTCGGACTCGAGTCCGAATAGTCACTTCGGTTTTGGGCAGGCATTGGGCACTGGGTACTGGAGTAGGCGCCAAACCGACGCACTTTACCATACGGTTCAGTTGTTCAATACTGATCACGTCTAGATCTACCCACAAATCATACAGAACCCCAGGTCCAAGCGCCAAACAAGCCTAGATTAGACTAGACTAGACTAGACTAGACTAGACTAGACTAGACTAGACTAGACTAGACTAGACTAGACTAGACTAGACTAGACTAGACTAGACTAGATCTAGAATCTAGATGATCTAGATTCTAGATCTACATGATCTAGACTCTACCCTGAAACTGAAACAGAATAGAGAATGAAAAAATCAAGAAAAAAAAATCCTGTTTCCCTTTATTATACTAAATCTAGATCTAGATCTAGATCTAGATCTAGACTCTAGATCTATTTGCACTGTACACACAACAGTCCCAGTCGTCCTCATCCTCAACAAAATTGTTTTATCAGAGTAGATAATCTAGATCTAGATCTAGATATTAGATATTAGATCTAGATCTAGATCTGGATCTAGAGAGAGAGATAATAAATGGTGCAATCGGTAAGATTGAAGAATACCAGACCAGTGGACTGACTTAGCCTTAGCCTAGATCTAGATCTAGATCTAGATGTCTCAACCTTAGGAATTCATAATTTTCCCGTTTTTAATCTCTCAATGGAGAATCTCGGACCGGTAGATCTATTCATTAAAATTTTGTTAGGGGGGAGACCCCCCTAAACCCCCCCTCCCCCCTTCTCCACCCCAACCACCCGCCCCACCAACCCCACTTTCTGGCGCAATAATGTACGAGTGGTCCGGTATTCTTCAATCTTCCCGTGCAATCTGATTTTTTCAAAGTTCAATTTAAGCATGCAAAACACTTTCAACGACCAAGATATCTAGATTTTAGATCTAGATTTCTATATCTAGATATTAGAATCTAGAAAAACTTAAACACACATCAAGTGAGCAAGGAGATAGGGTTAGGACCCTCCCGAGTTTTCTTTGTGGACACCCAAGTTATCGATAAAGACATGAATTTTAATTTCGACCCAACAAGCCCAAGACTCACCAACAAGAGACGAGGCAGAGAGTGAGAGAGACGAATAGATCTCGTAGACGGATTATAGATCTAGGCTAAACTCAAACTTACTTTGTACTTGAAAAGAACCTACAACATATCATGGAAGTCTACGTAAGCCATAACATTTTTAAACGGCAAAATAAAACCACAAAGACAGAAAGAAAGGGAAATAGTCCAGTCTGTGGAGAACTGCACTTATTATTGTACTTGTAAATGGCCTACAACTGTGAGGGACTGGAGGGGCAGTGTTTATTTCCGGAAATAAATGTTTGAACCGGAAACTAAATAATATCATACCAAAATATTATGACCAAAGACCTTACGTGTTTATAATTAGAGTGCACTATCGGAGTCAGAAAGTTCAGCTATGGCTATGGCGTTCGACTGGTGGCTGGTGGCTCGAAACAAACAGTATCATTAGGCCTAGCCTCGGAGATAAAGGAATACACATTTAGATTTCATATCGCATTGATATGAACACAGGGGATCG